AAAGTGGCTCCCCGCTGTTTTCTGGGATGGATTCCTCGCAAGACAGCCACCAAAAATGGCTGCCTTATGGAGAATCTTCGCTGGACTGTGAGTTTTTAGCCCATTGGAATGCATTAAATGGGTTTTAATGCGTTTCAGTGGGCCTTTTATTTTCGCATTACGACGTTTTCGTTCTACAGCGATTTTGCTGGAAAGAATTAACATCGTAATGCAAGGCACCACTGTACCTGCTTGTGCAGCGAAAATCCTCTATACGGTGGCCATTTTCTGCTCCCTGTCTTGCGAAATGAGGTCAGCAAAACAGCGGGGACCATTTTGAGAGCCGCCGATCAGCTGTTTTTAGATTGTCGTTTAGCGAAAAATTGGTTCCCGAAGCAGGGAACTGATCGTCATCAAGTGGATTTTCCCCATACAAACATTGTTTTGTGATCGCTATAGTGATTGCAAACTACTCATCGTCAAGCGATTTCATCGTATAAAGAGGTAATCGTCAAGTGGGACAACACTGTGAAAGCAGCTTAGGATTCCCTCACCTCCGACAAGGCACCTGGAAAGGATAACATCCCTGTTGAAGTGCTGAAGTGCTGTAAAGAGATCATCACCACCGAGCTGTATGAAGTCTTGTATTTGCTGAGGGAAGGTGGAGTATCACAGGACGTGAAGGATGCAAACATCATCACATTGTATAAGAACACGGGAAAGTCTTGTATTTGCTGAGGGAAGGTGGAGTATCACAGGACGTGAAGGATGCAAACATCATCACATTGTATAAGAACAAGGGAGACAGGGGTGACTGCAATGCTACCGTGGCATCTCTCTTCTCAGCATTGTAGGGAAGCTGCTTGCCCATATTGTGTTAAAGAGACTCCAGGTGCTTGCAGACAGAGTCTGTCCAGAATCACAGTGTGGATGTCAAGCTAATAGATCCACCACTGACATGGCATTCTCCCTCAGACAGTTGCAGGAGAAATGTAGGGAACAACGATAGCCACTCTTTGTGGCCTTGATAGATCTCACAAAGGCCTTTGATTTGCTTTTTAAAATCCTTCCCAAGATTGGGTGTCCACCTCAACTCCTTAACATCATCAGGTCCTTTCATGAGGAAATGTAGGGCACTGTTTTTGATGGCTCAACATCAGATTTTGATATCTGAAGCAGAGTGAAACAAGGCTGTGGCGCCGCGCCGACCCTGTTTGGGATCTTTTTTGCTGTGCTCATTTATAGAGATTAGGACAAAGTAGTCAACATAGAGATGTGAAAGCTGATGGAGAAAAAATCAGCTTCCTTGAAATGAGATATTGTAAAACAGCTTTACCGCTAGAAAGACAAATAATGAGTTCTAGATTAAAACAAGTCTGAATTCTGGTGAGAAGCTAAACTAAAGCCATCTCTGTATTTTAAATATATCATGAGAATACAGGACTCCCTGGAAAAGACAATAATGCTGGGGAAAGTGACAGGTGGTAGGAAAAGATGGAGGCCTGACATGAGATGTATAGCCTCAACAAAAGGAATCCAAAGGCTTTGATTTGTAAGATCTGAACAGGACTGTTAATGATTGGAGCTTTTGGATATCATTACTTCTTAAGGTTGGATACGGTGGTACAGGACTCCCTGATTGGTTCAAAATTGGGAAAGGAGTACGACAAGGCTGTATATTGTCTCCCTGCTTATTTAACTTATACGCAGAATACACCATGCAAAAGGCTGGACTGGAGGAATCCCAAGCCGGAATTAAGACTGCCGGAAGAAATATCAACAACCTCCGATATGCAGATGATACCACTCTGATGACAGAAAGTGAGGAGGAATTAAGGAACCTTGTAATGAGGGTGAAAGAGGGGAGTGCAAAAAATGGTCTGAAGATCAACATAAAAAAACCCCCAAATATCATGGCCACAGGTCCCATCAGCTCCTGGCAAATAGAAGGGGAAGATATGGAGGCAGTGACGGATTTTACTTTCTTGGGCTCCATGATCACTGCAGATGGAGACAGCAGCCATGAAATTAAAAGACGGCTGCTTCTTGGGAGGAAAGCGATGACAAACCTCGACAACATCTTAAAAAGCAGAGACATCACCTTGCCAACAAAAGTCTACATAGTCAAAGCTACGGTTTTTCCTGTAGTGACGTATGGAAGCGAGAGCTGGACCATAAAGAAAGCTGACCGCCAAAGAATTGATGGTTTTGAACTGTGGTGCTGGAGGAGGCTCTTGAGAGTCCCCTGGACTGCAAGGAGAACAAACTGATCCATTCTAAAGGAAATCAACCCTGAGTGCTCACTGGAAGGACAGATCCTGAAGCTAAGGCTACAATACTTTGGCCATCTCATGAGAAGAGAAGACTCCCTGGAAAAGATGCTGATGTTGGGAAAGTGTGAAGGCAAGAGGAGAAAGGGACGACCAAGGATGAGATGGCTGGACAATGTCATTGAAGCGACCATCCAAATCCGGGAAGCAGTGGAAGATAGGAGAGCCTGGCGTGCTCTGGTCCATGGGGTCACGAAGAGTCGGCCACGACTGAACGACTAAACGAACGACTTCTTAAGGTTGCCCAAAGTCGGAAGCAACTTGCCAGCATACAACAACAGAATGAGCCAATGAAGAAAACATTATTAGTTTTAAAAATATAAAAGACATTTACTTCTTGATACCGCATACACGTTCATGACACAAATGTAAAAAATCTTTCCACCACATTAAAAATTTGTGATATGTTTTTCACAAAATTAACTTGCATCATGCATTTAGGTGTTCCTGATTAGCATTCTTTGATCATGGCCCAACTTGTTTGGAAATTTATAAAGACACCAGATATGGACTGCTGTGGCCTTCCAGGTGTTTCTTAACTGCAGCTCTCTGATCATTGTCTGTGTTGGCTGGGGCTGATGGGAGTTGTACACCACCAACTAATGATTGATATAAGTATATCGACCAGTTTCTCACCCTGACTGATACATTTATAATGTGAGACAAATGTATGTGAAGAAGAAAAAACACCAGGGCATTTGATGTGCATTTGCCACAATTTTATATTTGGTGTATAAGATGCGTATCTATTTTATTTTTAACACTCTACCCTGAAAAGTAGGACCACAGTAATTCTAGGGAAAGTGTCAGGCAACTCTAGTTAATGCTCTAGGATAGTGTTTTTGCAGGAAATGGACATGGAAAGAGCTTTTCTCACCCTATTAATTACCTTCATGAATGGGCCTTCAGTGCTTCTGTATAATAATTCTGCTTCTCACACAGGTTCATCTTACATTGACATGCCTTATTTCTTTCCTTAACCCCATTGCCTTCTGAAAATTTATTTCTTATTACAAAAATCAAATTCTTAAAGATCAATTTCTTGAAATACAGACTACAGTGTATTTATTTTAAACTCACTTCAGTGAATCTTTTAAGATGTCTGATTAAAATATCAGGCATTCCATCTTCTCGTCAGCACCTCATAACTCTGATTTGTTGTCAGCCAGTGACTTTGTTGACCTTGTGTTCTTAATAGGGAACAAATTTTAAAGTAGTTTTGATATGGTAGATGTACAGGCTAGCAATCTGATAGGAATCTGGAGTGTGAGCCTGTTGTACAAGAACAATGTCCATTTTACCCAAACCAGAAGACGCTCTCTGTTTTAATGGTAAATCTGAGTCACTGGCCAGTCTCTCTAGCTTTCACTCCCTCTCCCCTCTCTCTGACAGACTTTCTTCATATTTTGTCATTTTTGATGTGGTAAGGGTGGTTGAATTGTTTTTAGTTTGGAGCTGCCTTTCTGAGCTAGAAGTTTCTAGGAAGAGGTAGTCTCTGGGAGGATAAATTGAAAGAAAGTGTTTATAGTTTAAATGGGAGAGGTCAGTATGAGGGGGTGTAGTTCTATAGTCCCCCCCCCCCCCTTACTTGCCAACAACTGAATGAATTCAGCTGTGCGTTTAGGAAGGAACTTGAGGAAAAATCAATCTCCTACTTAGCACAAGAGCATCTTTATTTCTAATTGTAAGACAACAATATTCAGACAAAATCTAATTCTTGTATTCGATTAAAGTTAAATGTTAAAAGTTGTATATGCATACATACAAGTCAAAACACCTCCTCCCCCTGCATGTTACATTACTTCTGAAACCTTCCAGGTTGCTACACTGCATGCATGGGACAGAGTAGTAGCGGCAGTGTGATTGTGTTTGCAGAATTTGTAGTACAAAATTGTGAAGGGAAGAGCTGCTAAACTGAATTAATTTTGTTGTGGATAGTGCTCCCCCATCGCTGCCTGGTATTGGGTGATTTACATTTGTGCCCTCTGGTCTTTTCTGTTTAATTCCATCTCATTTGCTACATATTTCTTTTAGGGAGTAATCACACAGGGAAATAGATCGCAATCTGTATCACTTGTGGTGCAGTATTTTCCCAACAATCACACAATGAAGAGGGAAATGTGCTCCAGCCTGACCCAGCCCATCCTTTTTTGCTCCAGTAGAGTTTTTACTTTGAGGGCCTGGAATGAAGCAATTTCCTAGCACGGTACTGTAGTTCCCAACCTTGGATCCCCAAGATGTTCTTGACCTGCAACTCCCAGAAATCCTGGTGAGGGTTTCTGGGGACTCAAAGTTGGGAACCACTGCCCTAACAGACAGAATGCTTGCTTTAAGGGACATAAAGGTTCCCTTGACATTTAGTCCAGTCATGTCCGACTCTAGGGCGCGGTACTCATCCCCGTTTCCAAGCCATAGAGCCAGCATTTGTCCAAAGCGTTTGTCCGAAGCTATGTCCAAAGGGACATAGCTTCCATTAAATCAACAATTTTTGTGTGATCAGATACATGCCTTTGCAGCCATCTGATCGTATCTTAGTTGGCATCTACTTCCTGTGTATCTGATCATAGTAAAAAAGTACTCAGTGGAAAATAGGTCTTGCACATTATAATGTAAATCTTTTTATAGTGATTCTATGTTCTATATTTCAAGGAATGTTTGATTGCTAACTGGGCGTGCACTGTATTGTTTCAGTGATGTCCTCGCACTGCCAATCTTTAAGCAGGAAGACCCTCAACTCTCTCCTGAGAATGACGCAAAACTCCCTCCATTTCAGTATGTGCTCTGCGCAGCTACATCGCCTGCTGTGAAACTCCATGAAGAAACTCTGACTTATCTCAACCAAGGTAGGACTGGCACAGAATTAATGCATGGGTCATTTGTTTTCCGGTTGAATGAAGCACATTTTATATTTAATTTGGCTTGCTAGTTATCAGCCATGGGATCCGTGCTTGGTTGGGAGAGTTCAGGGATTCGGTGTGCTCTTTTGTTGAGCATGGTAAAGGAAGAGTGAATTAGAAGTATAATGTTATCCTTAACCAGTAAAATAAAACTTGTAGCTTCTTATCCTTTTTCAGAGAGAAACACAGCCCTCTACCCTCATGCCCCTTAAAGGTTGACATGAAATTCTTCTGATAAAAACTGTTGCTTTGTTAGATGGAGTTGTCTTTGTTTCATAGGCCTGAAGGCAGTTGGTAGTCCCAATGTGATTTGGCTAATTGAATCAATGGGATTTGCATATGTTCTGACATGCCATTCAACATTTGATTTAATGAGTCTGCTGTTGTTTAGATTAGCAATTGGATTTAGACCATTATATTTAGATGAATTTCAAAGAATTAAAGAATTAATGAAATTTTCAACCTTATACTGACATTTTCTGACAAATGCCCTTAGTGGCTTTGGACATTACATAATACAAGAGGAACGGGAAACTCAAGTAAATCATGCTTAGTGTTCATGCTCTTTTGCAATGTCTGAAGTAGAAGTGTCACATCTTTGTATGGAATGAAATATGCCAAGTCTTGAGTTGGGAACAATCAGATTTAAAAAGGGTATTTATCTGTTTCAGGAGCAATTACGGGCAGGGTGGATTTAAAACCAATATTTTAAAACATTAGTTTGATTTAAATGACGATTTTAAATTTTAAAAATTGGGTTTTTTATTATTTAAATTAAAGATGATTTTTCAAAATTTAAATTGTTATTTAAATCAATCTGATTTTTTTTTTTAAATTATTTTTATCCACCCTGTGAGTGGGCACTTTTTTTAAAATGATTTTTATCCATCCTGTGAGTGAGCGCACAGGCATTCTCAAAGTAGAGTAGAACTCTCAAGTATTTATCACACTAAAGCTGACGCTGATAGTATTCAGCATTTTAAAATAATATAGATTCCGTACTATTACAAACAGGAAAAGGGATAGAGAAACTAAGGATGACACTGAATTGGCACCAGTGAAGAAGAGTATGCTTGCTACCTACTTCTAGTGAATGACTTAATCAACACAAAGTTGCAGAGAGAAACTAGGTAAATTACTCTGAAGGAATCAGCATCACTCATGCAATCCTGGCCATTTTAATAGGATTGCCAATAGTTACCAGCAATATATTAAAGACAAGGAGGGGAGCTTCAGGATAGAGATAGACACAAATTGACATAATGGCAATTGCAATTTATCAAAGTCCACGAATCGTGCATTTATGATTTTTTTTCCAGACAGTTTGTTCATTGGTTCATCACTGCTCAGGTACCTAGAGAAATCCACTGTCCTCCCACTCCCTTCCCACTGCCCCTGTCACCTCCCTACATTTTGCTGCCACTGCTGCCTCCTCTGCTGCTGCTGCTGGATCAATGGGAAAGGCAGCCCGGCTGGCTCCCACAAGTCGACTGCCTTTGCAGAGGCTGAGGCTTTCATTTTTTTTATTTATTAATTTTTTTAGCAGCAGAGAGTTGCCTGCCAGCCAGCTGCCTCTGCACATGCACCCACCTCTCAGCTGAGACGCGGGCACAGGGAGCCAGCCTGCGGGAGCCAACCAAGCTGCCTTTCAAGCTGGTAGTAGGAGCAGAGGAGGAGGCCGCAGCAGCAAAAGCTAGGGAAGCGACGGGGGCAGTGGGAAGTGGGTGGGGTAGTGAGTGCCTCTCAAAAAAAATTTAAAAAAAATTTTTTTTAGAGACAAATCCATGACTTAAAAAGCACTTAAAAACTGCCTGTTTGTATTCATTGGTGTCATCATGTTTGATGAACATGAATTGACAAATTAGTGATGAATTAGCTGGTTTCAATGAATTTTCTAATATGTTATTTTGCTTTGTGCCCATCAGGAATAGAATCAGTATTAGTTGAAAAACAGGGCTGATTAGATTTCTTTGTTTTTTTAAATTCCCTTTTATTTTTTGTCAGTAAGCACTGGCTTGAGAAGTGTAAATTTTTTCAGCAATGTCTTCAAGATGGATAGAAAGACTAACCTAAATAATCTATGCAAACACTTACGAATTCTTATAAAACAGAGGTCTCAGTCAAAGAACTATTAGACCCAATTTTAAAAAGGGTTTAAAATAGATTATACATTGTCTCTTCCTGTTGCTCCGGAGCTCACGGTCTGCAAGCCAGACCTGGCAGGAGGACGAGCCTCACTGCAAGGTCAAAGAGTGGACCACAGACAGCTAGCTCCAGAGCGATAGGAAGGGAGCACAGAGCTCACGGCTGCAGCGGAGGGTGAGTGGATGGTTCGGCCCCTGGGGGCTGGACCCTCGTTATGTCCACCTGTTCAGGGGTATTCGTATATGAATACGAATACCCCCGTCTCTACTCACAAAATAGAATTAGCATTTATAATCCGCATTCCATTATGAAACACTTGAACTACAACATATTAATTTAACATTGTTTTCATATAGGTTTTTTTTAAAAGCACAATAACAATAAAAAATAATTCAACTTAAATTTTTTTAAATTGTTTTTTTAAATCATTGATTTTTTTTTATTCATCCTGCTCTGTGTTATTCCAGGAAGCAATTTGTCTTCTAGGAACAAAAATATTTCTCTCTGTCTCATACTCAGATGATCACTGTGTCCTTATCTCAATGTTTACTATCTGTGATTTTTCTTATTTTTTTCCTTGATCTTATCAAGAATTTATTCTCTGTTTCTCTCAGCCATGCCACTGTCATTTTAACTTTTTCACCTGCTCTGCACACCATCTGACAAGTTCTTTTCATAGTGTAAGGATGATCTTGGGCAGGGATGGTGAACCTTTTGACACTTCAAGTGTTTTGCGTTATTGCTAGAGATGGGCACAAACATCGGTTTGGAGGTTCATGCTAGTTTCCTCTCTCCATCTCCCCAGCCAAGGACCCACTCAACTATCAGAACACACTCCTCTCCTCCTCTTCGGCTGTTTGACCAGTCCCCAGCAGGAAGACAGGTTTGCCTGTCCCACCTCCTTGTCTGAGTGGGCAAACAGCCAAGGAGACCTGGCACGGAAGCCCATGCTCCTGCCAGAGAATGATTAAACAGCCGAAGAGAAGGCGGAGAGGAGCACGCATCAGATGGTGAGTGGGGAGGTCCAGCTGGGGAGAGGCAGGGGAAGAGAATATGAACTGGCAGAAACCTCCAAACTGAGGCTTGTGCCCATCGCTGGTTACTACTCCCACAGTCCTTTATTATTGGCAGTATAGCTGGGGGTTCTGGGAGTTGTATTCCAAAATATTTTGAGTGCCAAAAGATTGCAATTCCTAGAATTTATTGACACAAAATTGTCAATAAAAGCAGGAGGAACATAGATGATCACTGTACCCTCCCTTCATTGACCATCGAAGGAGCAGAAAGAATATTCAGCTTCAGTTGCTATTGAACTATAGAGCTGGGAATCTGTGCTGACTGGGGGATTGCATGCCCTGTCTCCCCAGAGGGGTATCATGGCAAGGCGGAGAACAAATTAGCCCTGTACCTTGGCCAGTGCTTGATTTCTTCTTCCTTTCTCCTTCCTTCCTTCCTTCCTCCTCCTCCTATATCATTGCTGTTAGATTGTGAGCAGGAGTAATCTTGCCTTTTATTTTTGCATAGCGCTTAGGAAATAGATGCCTGATAACTCAGATTTTTTTTTATTGATATGCTGTTTATTTAAATTCTTATTGTTCTGGTCCAAATAAGCCATTTTTAATCACAAAGTCATTTTTTTCAAACAGTTTGGCTGGAAAAACCGTATTACATAGAAAAAAAAAAGAAACATTGCACTGGAAACCTGACAAACAAGTGCTGCTTAAAGCACAGAACCTCATGTTTGGTCCAAAAGACCTTTCATTTTAAGATACTCTATTAGTTATTTCTTTGTAGAAGCACTGTGCTTAAATTTTAATCCAAGCACTTCCCAAAGGACATAGGCTGACTGTTTAAAACCTGTTCCTTTCCAAACCAACTGTCAGGAAATACTATGTTTAAATCAATAATACAACCTGATGTAACTGTAGGAAGCCCTTGATTATACTGCAGGTGTACAAGAAAGAAATACCTCTGCAGGGGCCCCCTAAAGGGGTCCTAAAAATTATATGTTATTTCATTCTGGGTATAAGAGTTTGGTGAACAAAGGCTACAGTCTTACTAGAGATTATGTACATTTCCTAGGAATTACGGCTTCAGTCCTATACTGGTCTGTTGGGGAAGAGGTCCTGCTGAACTACTTCTGAGTAGCTATGTGTAACATTGCACTGTAGATTGTGGGAGGAAGGTTGAGACCAACGTTTGAAATGTTCTCTTTTTTTTTCCGGACGACATTTCCTAGAAGTACTTAACAAGTGTGGCCATTGGTGAAACTATCAGAGTGGGCGAGTGTGGTTATGAGAGTCATAGTCCAAGAAGTAAATTCTCAAGGGGACATAAAAAAAAATAAGGAAAGAACAGGTTTATAAAAGTGAGGATGAATGAGTGGAACGAGAATAATCATAAAAGTTAATAAATGGTTGTAATGAGGGCTCCACCTTGATAATTCCCTATTTTTAAAAAATGCAAACAGATCTAGATTTCTTTTAATGCATATAATCAGTCTGGCTATATTATGAAGTGGCTTCCCAGTCTGTGAAATATGAAGGTCTATCCAGGCCTTCCAAGAGGAGACTAAGTACCAGAATAGTTGATCTAGACCCAGAGCTCAGAATTTACCCAGGAAGCAGATGTTGGCAAGGGATTGTGTTTGATAGACAGGCTACTTACAGGGGACCCAAGACATGACAATCCTGACGGGTACTTCTTGTCTTTGCCTTGCTAAAAATCATGCTGCCTCTTGTGTGGAATATACTGCTGAACTTGGAAGTGGCAAATGACAGCTCACCTGTTTGCTGAACTTG